CCCACTCCGCGCCCAATGTAGCCGTAGAGGTTACCCACTGCTTTACCTGGTCCCGATGTCTTGGTGCGCCTGATAACAAACTTGGCACCTATCTGCGATAGCACAAAAGAACTCGGATCGACCCCTTGGATGTCGTCGCACCGCATCGTTGCCCAAATCAAAATAAGCAACACGAAAGCATAAAATCTAAGTCCTACCGGAAACGTTTGCTTGCAGACACACAACTCCGCCGCGAGGATCACTGCAACGGTGAACATCGGCGCCTGTCGACGAGGCGGTGCGCCTTGCTCCAGTTCCGCTGTCCAAGAGCGGCACGCCTCGATGAGCAATCGATCTTCAGACAGCCGCCGGTCGGTGTCCACTTGCCCCACTTGTTCAAGTAGGGCCAGAGCACCCAGAATCCCATTCGGAACTGACTTGCCCATTCCTTGAGACTCGTGTCTTTCCTCCAAGTAAGTCAGCATGATCTCTGCCTTTTCAGGCCAAGGCTTGCCAGTAGAGGCCTTGAGCCATTCCCGTGCCTTAGCCCAAGTCATAGCACGATTGCGAAGCGTCTTGGAACGACGTGCACCAAAGGCCCGCTCCCAGAGTTGAGCAGCCTGCTCATGCCCCACGATGCGGGTGGCCAAAGGCATGCCGCATGCCTGCCTCCTCAATGAAAGCAGCCAACTTCAGCGCCCAACGCTTCTTCTCGTTCGACTCGAAGGTTTCCCGATCAGACCGATAGCTTGCCTTCTGATTACGTATCGCCTTCTCCAGCACCTTTAAGCTCAAAGAGGGTGATTGCTGCAGTATCACTTCATAGGTTTGTCCGATGTCAACCCCGTACAGGAAAGGGGATTGTCGATGAGGCTCCAGCCTGGGCAGCCATAAAACGAGCCTGCCGGTTGCTACCTGACTGCTTGTCCAGAACCCATTGCCAGAGCTTCTCCGTCAATGCAGGTTTGCTGTGTTCCGCAACGCTATCCCCAAGACATTCCTCTACGGTAGATGCGGCATCGTCATAGTCGCTGATAGACACCGCCAGTTGCACCGGATCTTTGAAAGCCTCCCTGCAGCGCAGTGCAATTACAGCATGTATGCCATAAATCTCTTGCCACACAGAGTCTTCAGCGATCCTTTTCATAGGATCCCATGGAGCTACACACCGCGCGTAGAAAGGCCCCC